ATAATATGAATAATAATCTTGTCCTACCCGTAAGACATCAGGCTCGGTATCAGTCCTACCCTATCTGGGCACCAAGTGTTGCACATGATGGAAAGTTGGTTCCTTCCGCCTTTGAGCTCTTGCCTCTTTCCTCGAATTTGGGCTGGTTTCTCGGGGCCCACATTTCCGGGGACTTACCAGCGGAGTGCTGCCTCCTGGCCCAGCGTTCTCCGGGGCGGCTGCCCCGTCAGGTCAGCCTGGGATGTTTCTTTGACCAGCTTCCCCTCTCCTCCCACTGTTCTGCAGTCTCTGCTGATTCTGACGGCGGCGTGGCGGGGCTCTGATTGATCCTTTAAGGAAAAGAGTGCAGTGGCGGGAAGTAAGGGGATGAAAATGAGTCAGTGCCTGCTGCGTGCTGGTGCTGCCTGGGCCATCGCCCGTCCAGTGAACGAGCCCCCCCTCAGCTCCGTCGCCCTTCCCGCTTCGTCTGCCTTTCGGAGATCAGGGCACAAACGTCACGTAAAGGCACCGGACAAGAATGAGTTCAGAAATTTCAAAAGAGCAGTAGCCTGTTTCCAGCTGGCTCTGGGGCGGCTACAACCAGAAGCATTTTCCTAACTCCCCAGTCACTGATGGAATCATGATGATAACAGGGTCTGCAACAGAGGCCTCTGGAGACTTAGGGGGTGGACACCACTCTTGCATAAAGTAGACTGGCCAGTGTTTGTTTTATGTGAGCCTATTATTTTAATTTGAGAAATGTTCATTTATTTTTTTTTAAAACACAGTACTAAAATATTTATTGATTTCAGAGAGGAAATGACAACACCTTCATAACCACTTACGTGGATGATTACTAATGTTTTGTCATATTTACTTCATCTTGATTCAATAAAAGAAGTAAAATATTACTGGCAATGCAGTTTCCTGTGCCCCTCACCCTGTGCACATTCTGCCATCCCCACCCTGGGAACAACCACTGTCAGAATTAAGTTTGTCATCCCAAGTGGCTCACAGCACAGCCATGAAATCACTTTTTGCTAAACTTCTCAGGTGTAGGGTAGGGAAGAGGCCTGTCTGCCCTCCATGCAGGGCGGGGGGGGGGGGGGGGGGGGGGGGGGGGGCGGGGGGGAGGCGGAGGAGGAGAGTCAGGCACTGGATTTCAGCGGGGAGGCTGGGGGCGGGGTGGCTGGCAGATCGGGTTTCAGCCAGCCTGGTTTTTGTGTGTGTGTGAGTGTGTGTGGTGTGTGTGTGTGTGAGTGTGTGTGAGTGTGTGTATATGTGTGTGTGAGTGTGTGTGTATGTGTGTGGTCTGTGTGGTGTTAGTGTGTGGGTGTGATTGTGTGTGTGTCGGGGGGGGGGGGAATGAACGAGAATGCGAAGGGAAAGCCAGCTGCTGTGTGTGTGTGTGGTGTGTGTGTATGTGTGTGTGTATGTGTGTGTGGTGTGTGTGTATGTGTGTGTGTGGTGTGTGTGTGTATATGTGTGTGTGTGTGGTGTGAGTGTGTGTGTGTGTGTGTGTGTGTGGTGTGTGTGGTGTGAGTGTGTGTGTGTGTGTGGTGTGTGTGTGTGTGTGTGTGAGTGTGTGTGTGGTGTGTGTGTATGTGTGTGTGTGTGTGTGTGTGGTGTGTGTGGTGTGAGTGTGTGTATGTGTGGTGTGTGTGTGTGTGAGTGTGTGTGTGGTGTGTGTGTATGTGTGTGTGTGTGAGTGTGTGTGTGTTGTGTGTGGTGTGTGTGTGTGTTTGTGTGTGTGTGTGTGTGTGTGGTGTGGGGGGGGGGTGCGGGGGGAACGGGCGTGCAGGGAAAGCCAGCTGTGCGCAGTGGCTCTTCCTGTAGAACCTGTTGGGGCCGGTGGGTGAGTAACCAGGTGGAAATGGCTCCCAGCCGCCGCTCGGCTCACATCTGCCTGCGCCCAGAGCCACTCACTCCCCAGGACGATCTGCACCCACACGGTCCCCCACTAAAGCCGAGTCTCTGCCGGAGGTCTGCGGGGAGAGCTGTGCCCTCCCCCGGTCGGTCCGTCGGTCGGAAGCAGGAGGGGAGCTGGGAGGGGGCCCCAGATAAGAGTGGCTGCGTCTGCCAGGCCGTGGGAGGCCGCAGTGTGAAACTGAGTCACGCCTGCATCTGATGAAACTGCTCAGACTCACCGGCTGCCGGCCGGGAGGGAGGTGGGGAGAGCCCGAGGGCTCCCTCGCGTTTCCGTCTGTCCTGGGAACTTCTGGATGGAAAGGAATGAGAGCCTCCGGCCCCTGGACGTTCTGGGAGCGGGGTATGTAGCTTCCAGGTCACTCACTCCCCGGGGTGCGGCCGGAGCCGGGCGCCCGGTGCCAGGGCGGGCAGCTCCCCGCTGGGACGGCGGTCTCAGTGGAGCTTCTGTCTCCGTGTGCACACGCTGTCTCCGTGTGGACACTCTGTCTCCGTGTGGACACTCTGTCTCCGTGTGGACACTCTGTCTCCCTGTGAACACTCTGTCTCCCTGTGAACACTCTGTCTCCGTGTGGACACTCTGTCTCCCTGTGAACACTCTGTCTCCGTGTGGACACTCTGTCTCCCTGTGCACACTCTGTCTCTGTGTGAACACTGTCTCCGTGTGCACACTCTGTCTCCGTGTGGACACTCTGTCTCCGTGTGGACACTCTGTCTCCGTGTGGACACTCTGTCTCCCTGTGAACACTCTGTCTCCGTGTGCACACTCTGTCTCTGTGTGAACACTGTCTCCGTGTGCACACTCTGTCTCCCTGTGAACACTCTGTCTCCGTGTGGACACTCTGTCTCCGTGTGGACACTCTGTCTCCGTGTGGACACTCTGTCTCCCTGTGAACACTCTGTCTCCGTGTGCACACTCTGTCTCTGTGTGAACACTGTCTCCGTGTGCACACTCTGTCTCCCTGTGAACACTCTGTCTCCGTGTGCACACTCTGTCTCCCTGTGGACACTCTGTCTCCGTGTGGACACTCTGTCTCCGTGTGGACACTCTGTCTCCCTGTGAACACTCTGTCTCCGTGTGCACACTCTGTCTCCGTGTGGACACTCTGTCTCCGTGTGCACACTCTGTCTCCATGTGCACACTCTGTCTCCCTGTGAACACTCTGTCTCCGTGTGGACACTCTGTCTCCCTGTGGACACTCTGTCTCCCTGTGAACACTCTGTCTCCCTGTGAACACTCTGTCTCCGTGTGCACACTCTGTCTCTGTGTGGACACTCTGTCTCCCTGTGAACACTCTGTCTCCGTGTGGACACTCTGTCTCCCTGTGCACACTCTGTCTCTGTGTGAACACTGTCTCCGTGTGCACACTCTGTCTCCGTGTGGACACTCTGTCTCCGTGTGGACACTCTGTCTCCGTGTGGACACTCTGTCTCCCTGTGAACACTCTGTCTCCGTGTGCACACTCTGTCTCTGTGTGAACACTGTCTCCGTGTGCACACTCTGTCTCCCTGTGAACACTCTGTCTCCGTGTGGACACTCTGTCTCCGTGTGGACACTCTGTCTCCCTGTGAACACTCTGTCTCTGTGTGAACACTGTCTCCGTGTGCACACTCTGTCTCCGTGTGGACACTCTGTCTCCCTGTGAACACTCTGTCTCTGTGTGAACACTGTCTCCGTGTGCACACTCTGTCTCCGTGTGCACACTCTGTCTCCGTGTGGACACTCTGTCTCCCTGTGAACACTCTGTCTCTGTGTGAACACTGTCTCCGTGTGCACACTCTGTCTCCGTGTGGACACTCTGTCTCCCTGTGAACACTCTGTCTCCGTGTGGACACTCTGTCTCCGTGTGGACACTCTGTCTCCCTGTGAACACTCTGTCTCTGTGTGAACACTGTCTCCGTGTGCACACTCTGTCTCCGTGTGGACACTCTGTCTCCCTGTGAACACTCTGTCTCCGTGTGCACACTCTGTCTCCATGTGCACACTCTGTCTCTGTGTGAACACTGTCTCCGTGTGAACACTGTCTCCGTGTGCACACTCTGTCTCTGTGTGAACACTGTCTCTGTGTGAACACTGTCTCCGTGTGAACACTGTCTCCGTGTGAACACTGTCTCCGTGTGCACACTCTCTCTCCTGTGTGAACACTGGGCTGCGTGGGGCAGGACCCTGAGATCGTGCTGTTCTCTCAGGAGCTGGCATGTCTGAACGCTTGGCTCCTGTGCTTCAGGAAACGGTTCTGCTGACTGTGCGCTCAGAGAGGGTATTTAGATCCTCACAGTGCTCTCTGAATGTATGCTAAAAACCTAGCCAACGTCTAACATTGGAATGAAATCTCTAATAATCAAGACTAGGGTCGGAGTAGAGGAATTCTGGGAAGTCCAAGACAAGCCGGGCTCGGCTCCCCAGGTCTAGCGTGAGGGCAGCAGCACAGCACACTGAGCTCTGCGATCGCCGCTGCCTCTACAGACGGCTTTCCACACTTTCCACAGCCGGTTGCTAGGGGCGTCTCTCCTCCAGAAAAGCAAACAGCTCCGGGCACATTGGAGCGGCAAGCAGAGTGGGAATGTGAAGTTACCACCCAGAGCTCCCTCCGGCTCAGACACCACTGGCTCTGAGCCCTCCCCCGCCCACGCCCTGGCTTCTGCCCCATTTGGGGGAACCCTTGTGGTGGAGAAGCACCCTGCGTGGGGCTCTGGCTTACTTTCACGTAGCTTTCCTTTGAGACGTAATCTGAGTTCTTCCTGAACCGCTCAGCCCCTGGACTGCCTTTCCATTCAGATCTGAGTCAGCATCTCTGATCGGAGGCATGCTTACCGGAACCCAGGAGGTTCCTCACCAGCTCTCCTCCTGTGAGTCCCGGGGGAAAGCCAGGCATGTCCCCCCTGCACAGTTTTAGGGTTCCAGGAAGAGCTGGTGGGAATTCCTGCCAGAAGGAGGGCTAGAACGGGTTCAGGTTGCAGTTGGTTTGTAAAAAGGCTGCATCACATGTTAGTGTGCCTTCTGGGTTATTTTTTTATTAAGCTGTTTTCTAGATGCAGTGAAATTTGACATAAATTAAAGCTGTGTGTGTTGTTGTGTTTTCTTCATTTATTAGCTGTTCCAGTGGAAACAGCTGGAGAACCTATATTTCCGGGAGAAAAAATTCGCTGTTGAAGTTCACGACCCCCGGAGGTGAGGGTCCCCGCTTTCCCTCTGCTTGTCCTGGTGGCTTCTGGGTAATGCTGCGAGCACTCACATGCGGTTTGCGTGGATGTGTGTCTATTCCTCCGGGTCTGTCCCTGGGGGTGGAGCTGCTGAGTGAAGAGCTGACTCTTTAACCTTTGGAGGAACGGCCGGAGGGTTAGCAGGGGCCACCCCATTTTCCGTTCACACCAGCAGCGTGTGTGGGTCCACTGTCGCCACGTCCTCCCTCGCGCTTGTTATTTCCAGCGGAGCTGTTCTCTGGCAGCCGTCCTCGTGGTGGGAAGCGGCCTTTTCCTCATGACTGACGTTGGCTGAGCATCTCTTCATGTGCTCATTGGCCGTTTGCATGTCTGTTCAGACCCCTTGCTCGATTTTAAATTGAGTGTGCCTGGTCACTTTAAAAGACAGCTGCCAAATGATCAACATTAATTAAAGTCAGGACCGCGGTTTCTCCAAGCTGACACATTTATGGGTATTCGGAGGACACGGATGGGGAAAACAGCCCTTAACAAAAAGATGGCCTGAATCCCGACAAATGAATGCTGGTTGCTCTCTTCCTCCCAGTCCTTCCTCCACCTGCCCTGTCCTCGCAGCAGCCCTCTGGACCAGGTTTGAGCCTGGGCACTCTCAGCAATCTCGTTATGTCCGTCCTCTGATTCTGTCCGGGTCAGACAAGTCCCTCTAATCCTCGATGCTCCTTCCCCCGAGGAAAGTGCTCATCCCCAGGTCTCTGTCTTTAAAACATTCCTCCACTCACTCCCCACCGCTGGTGGTGGTTTTAGCTCCGTGATGTTAGTACAGCTCTAACCTGACTAATCCTTATCTGCCTGGGAGCATGTGCATGCACCTTTAACACCAGATTTGCAGAGTGATCGCCTAGGCCTGATGGGCTTTGTCAGAAAAGGAGGAGCTCAGAGCCCCGTCCGCATGGTGTGGCGGCAGGAAAAGGAGAAGGAGATGTGCTGTTGCGTTGCTCACGGGAAGCCGTTCATGCTGTGCTGGGCCAGGAGCTGGGGATCTGAGCGCTTTTCTCCATCTGCAGGATTTCGGTGTCAAGAAGGACCTTTGGGCAAAGCGGCCTCTTTGTGCAAACCTGGTATGCACACTCTTCACTCATCAAGTCCATCTGGGTGATGGCCATCAGTCAGCACCAGTTTTACTTGGACCGGAAGCAAAGCAAAGTAAGTGATGAGATGAGGTTCTGCAGGAATAAGCTCCTGCCCCTCATTTGCTTTCTGTTTAAAAGATGAAAGCATATCGGTTTTTGTTCTTTTAGGGTTGTTTTTTTTAAACCTTACTACCAACTGTTTTAATTTTCCTCATATTTAAAAAATGAGCAATATATAACCCAATTCAAAAGTTGTACGATTTCCCCAGGCTGGATGGCTCAGTTGGGTGGAGCATCGTCCCATACACCAGAAGTCATGGGTTTGATTCCCAGGCAGGGCACATAACTAGTTTGCAGAGTTCATCCCCAGTGGGCTTGATGGGAGGCAACTGATCAATGTTTCTCTCTCTCTTCCCCTCTCCCCTAAAAATCAATAAAGATAGTCCTAGCTGGTTTGGCTCAGTGGATAGAGCGTCAGCCTATGGACTAAAGGATCCCGGGTTCAATTCCAGTCAAGGGTACAAGCCCGGGTTGCGGGCTCAATCCCCATGGGGGGCATGCAGGAGGCAGCTGATCACTGACTCTCTCTCCATCTCCCTTCCTCTCTGAAATCAATAAAAAAAATTTTTTTAAACATCAATAAAAATGTATCTCTGGGTGAAGATTTAAAAAAAATTGTGTGTAGTGTATACTGGTAATGTTTTAAAGTTAATGATTGAACTATACCATAACAAAGACTCATGCGTCCTTATTAATATGTCTTAGCTACAAAGCCTAAGTCTTATTTTTTTTGGAAGAGTGTCATTTTGGTATATGTATAAAAATTCTAAATTGTCCTCCATGTTGACATTTTTGTTTTATAGCAACTTAATCATTCATTTGAAAGAGGCTTAATTGAGTGAATTTCATCACAATGCTGTATACTTTTTAGGCAAAAATTCCTTCAGCCAGAAGCTTAGACGATATCGCGATGGATTTGATGGAGACAGGAACCCCGAGGACCTCCAAACTGGTCACTCTGGAGGCCAAAAGCCAGTTCATTATGGCCAGCAATGGCAGCTTAATCTCCTCAGGTATCCGCTGGGGTTAGAGAGGGTGCAGGCAATCTTTAGTTTATTTCACTTTTGTTGTTGTTGTTATTGTAAACCACTTTTAAATGCATCTTCTAACCCATTATTTTGGGAACAAATAAGCATATCAAAATTACAGTATGCAGAAGTTTCATTTTTAATAAAAATTTTAAACTGGTAGCCTTTGTGTTGCCCATTCACTTTTGGAAACTAGTGAATGTGGTGTCAAAAAAGGCGTAAACTACACACTTTGCAGCCCTATCCTGCCCTTGAATTTGATGTCTTTGGTGGAAGAGCTGTGTAAGTAACAGTTTAAAAAAAAATTTTTAAACTGGTTTCAGAAAGTATAAAATTAAATTATAGTCAGGTTGCATAACTAACACCAGTTGCAGAGACACTGAGTGCCTAAGGGCGGCTTGAAAGGACATTTTCTCCCGATAAATTCCATTAGCTTCTTATTCCTCCCAAGAAATCCTGGAACCTTTTATCACTAAGTATTCACTAAAATGCATCTTCCCACTAAAATCTCACTGTCAACTTGTGCATCTGGAGCACAGAATATTCCCTTGCCTCGCTCGCTTGCTATCACTGTCTCAAGGAACATCTCACCGGCTCGGAAAAGTTACTTTTGTCGCTGGGTGTGGCTGAGACATTAAGCATTTTATTACTGCTCCGGAAATGACTGAGCCAAAACGGGGAAAGGCACCTTTCACTGCCAGGCTCCGGTAGATGCCCAGAAGCATGAGAAATGTTCTCCAGTTTCCTTTTATTATATTCACCAACAGGGAGAAAAGAAATAAACTATCTAATAGCAGGTTTGGCTTAAAAATCCTTTGTCCTTTACAAAGGAAGGAAACATCCCTTGGATAAACCTTCCCATCCCCTGCTTCCAATTCCCCCAGGTTCTCAAGACTCGGAAGTGAGTGAGGAGCAGAAGAGAGAGAAGATCCTGGAACTGAAGAAGAAGGAAAAGCTGCTGCAGGAGAAGCTCCTGAAGAAAGTCGAGGAGCTGAAGCAGATCTGTCTGCGGGAGGCGGTGAGTCCTTCTGTTCGGGGACCCTCAGGTGGTATTTGCGGCTCTGGCTCGTGCCCATCCTGCCGGCTCTGTTCTTTTCCGCAGGAGCTTACGGGCAAAATGCCAAAGGAGTACCCGCTGGGCATCGGTGAGAAACCGCCTCAGGTCCGAAGGCGTGTGGGCACCGCCTTCAGATTAGATGACAACTTGCTCCCCAGTGAGGAGGTATGAGCCCCAGCCCCTGCTGTCCCCCCGGGATTCTGTGAACAGAGACGGAGCAGCTGTCTGTTGAGTGTGGTCCACTCGGCCTTTGATTTCGGGTCACTGCTGCGCGTTTTTATCTCACCAGTTGACAGTGACAATATAGACCAAATTGAGTTCCTTCTTTTATGCACAGCTCGGTTAAAATTGTTATTACGCCTCCAAACACAGAGCGCCCTCATCAAACCCCGAATGTTCACAAACTGAGAAACATAAGAATTAACGCTGACGTTAGACTCTCCCACCTAAAACCAAGCAGCGGCCTTTGGCAGATTCTTTTCCCTCCTTGAAGTCTTAATTCTCAGGTCTCGGTTTTCTCATCTACAAAATGGGGGTGCAGTGATTCTTTCCCTCCAGGGGAGGCAAGGAGGATTCAGTGAGGTGGCACGTGTCCAGCACACAGCTTAGCACAGTCCACAGATTTGTCAGCCATATGAAGTGTGTTTTCTCATCGCATGTTTTCATGTGGCCTCACTCCTGTTTCTTATAGACATCTACCCATCTTGACTTTAGAAAATGATAGCAGTTTCTATCAATTATAGAGTGAGCTTTGCTGTGTATTGAGTGCTCACTGTATACCCAGCTCTGCACAAGGAATGCACATATACTTGTGTGAGGTAGATGTTCCTTTCATTTTACAATAAAAAGAAACTGAATCATTAAAAAATTAAGCAGTGTGCCTGGCGTCATACAGCCAGGAGCCACCAGAGAAAGGAATCAAACCCAAATTTACATCTGTAAAGCTGTGCCTGTGAAAACAACATTCTGCATCTCTGACTCTTGGGTTAAGAGTCCCTTATTGAAAAATATAACCTTGCTGAAACCGGTTTGGCTCAGTGGATAGAGCGTCGGCTTGGGGACTGAAGGGACCCGGGTTCGATTCCGGTCAAGGGCATGTACCTTGGTTGTGGGCACATCCCCAGTAGGGGGTGTGCAAGAGGCAACTGATCGATGACTCTCTCTCATCGATGTTTCTAGCTCTCTATCTCTCTCCCTTCCTCTCTGTACAAAAATCAATAAAATATATTTTTTTAAAAATATATATATAACCTTTACCCACCAACTGAATGAATGAAAGGCCGTTCCCTCCTTTGGGAGGGAAAGAGGGTGAGAAGTTGATGTAAATGGATGAGGAAGGTTTGAGGCCGCCTGTGCAGTAAACGGGGAGATTTTACGCCCAGAGAGCATTGGAGAATGCACGAGAAGTCTGACTCAGTGCCAGACGTGTGAGAGTGAGCGAGTGTCTACAGAAATAAAACAGCATCGTTGTGTAAATGCAGGACCCTGCTTTGCAAGAGCTGGAGAGCAACTTCCTAATACAGCAGAAGCTGGTGGAAGCTGCAAAGAAGCTTGCCAATGAGTCAGACCTGTGTAAAACCGTGAAGAAAAAACGAAAGCAAGATTACACGGATGCAGTGAGAAAGCTCCAGGAGATTGAAAACGCAATAAATGAATACCGCATCAGGTGTGGGAAGAAGCCTACCCAGAAAGGGACAGGTACCTTACCAGGTGAGTAGTAACAAGTCAAGTTTTTCTGTCCCATCGCCCTCTTGATGACATGTAGCATTCCAAATCAGTTCATTGTGAGAGAAAAGAAAAAACAGGAATAAAAGTAACTTTGCTGGGGTAGAAATGGTTTGGAATTCCAGTTTTACAAGTAAGTAAACCTGGTTTTCAGTGACATTCTCACTGTTGTAATAACACTATATTATTATGTTGCTTTCATTTTCGGGATGAAAGAGCTCTCACTACAATATTAGTTCGCAGTAAGACAGATTCACCTTTAACTGAGCTGATGGCATTGCAAGAAACACATTTGACAACTCAGAGGAGTAAGAGATCTGGGTCTATCCAGTAGTTTCCCGAAGGTTTTAAGGCCGAAGACCATACAGTTTCTTAAGGACCTATTCAACTTATGTGGCTAGGAAAGAGTTCTCACAATTACTGTCACTATGGAGGCTACTTGAAGATATGGGTAAATGTTCATACTATAACAGGAAGTGCAGAAAGGCAAGCACAAAATTGTCACTGCAGCATACTCCCAACATTACATAATGACCAGAGGCCCAGTGCACAAATTCGTACACAGGTGGGCTCTGGCTGGCCCAGTCCCAATTGGCTGATCAGGGCCAGGCCTGTCAGGAGGAGGGGCCGTGGGAGGTTGGCTGGCCAGCCCCACCCCCCATTGGACTGGTTCACTGGCCACAGTGGGCATCATAGCAACTGGTTATTATGGTGTTCCAGTCACTGGCTTTTTATATATATGGACTAGAGGCCCGGTGCATGAAATTCATGCATGGGGGGTGTCCCTCAGCCTAGCCTGCACCTCTCTAATCTGGGACCCTCAGGGGATGTCCGACTGCCGGTTTAGGCCCAATCCCTGTGGGCCTAAACCGACAGACATCTCTCTCACAATCAGGACCTCTGGCTCCTAACCACTCTCCTGTCTGCCTGCCTGATCGCCCCATAACCACTCCCCTGCTGGCCTGATTGATGCCCAGTTGCTCTTCTGCTGACCCTATCGCCCCCAACTGCCCTCCCCTGCCAGCCTGCTCACCCTCCCCTACCCTCCCCTGCTGTGACCCACCTCCTCCACACAAGGCGGTGGAGACGCCAGTCCTGGTCTCCTCCGTGCTACACAGAGCCTCAGGACCCCCAGGCCTCACCATGCAGAGTGACTGCCAGGCCCTGCCTCCACGTGCAGGTGGCCATCTTGTGTCAGCCATCGTGACAACGTCGTGCACTTGGGTACAAGGACCACCGTGGCTTTTATTAGTAGAGGTGTTCACACAAAGACTTGCTGTGAAATATTTTAAAATACCAATAGTTGTGGAATTTTAACTAACTTAATTTTCTTTTTAGCACTCTTCTGTATTTTCAAAATTCTCAACATTATATATCTAAAACTTTCATGTTCAGAAAAACAGTAAATTGAAAAATCTCATTTAGGTAGATCTCAAGTCCAGTCAGCCCTACATGTTTATTAGCATGGTTTTTAGCCTTGATCATTGGTTGAAACTTGATTATATTTCTTTGATTCCAAGAATTGTTTTTCACATTTAATCATCTGTGAAATTGGGATAATTCTTATCCTAGACTAGGGGTGTCGAACTCAATCAGAGAAGGGGCCAAAATCTAAAATCCAGCCTAAATCTCGGGCCAAATGGTTTACTGAACAGTCATAAACTGTCATTGTGATGGAAACGCAGTGGAGTGCAGTGATGACAGTGCGGTGCGGGCCACATTGCAAGGCCTGGCGGGACGGATTTGGCCCGCGGGCCTTGTGTTTGACACATGTGTCCTAGACAGTATTACAGTTATGATCCAATAGTAACTTTTTCTTATTTTAATGGGACATAAAATAATTATACAGCTTAGATTTGACAAAATATGGTCACTAGGTTAAAAGAGTTCTCAGGCTGTCCTAACTGGTTTGGCTCAGTGGATAGAGCGTCAGCCTGTGGACTGATGGGTTCCGGGTTCAATTCCAATCAAGGACATGTTCCTTGTTTGTGGGCACATCCCTAGTAGGAGGCGTGCAGGAGGCAGCTGATCGATGTTTCTCTCTCATCGATGTTTTCAACTCTCTCCCTCTCCCTTCCTCTCTGTAAAAAATCAATAAAGTATATTTAAAAAGAGAGGGTCCTCGGGCTTAGGGCCAGTCATTTTGGAACGTGAAGGCACAGCCATCAGCACCACGTGTCAGCTGCTCCAGCTGGAGAATGAGGTGGCTGTGCTGCACACCAGCTGGTCCTGGGGGTGGGGGTGGGGGTGGGGGTGTTCCGTGCTCACAGAGAAGGCTGCTCCCTGCACTTGACTCTCGGCGCCGTTTGCTGTGGCCACTCCTTGCAGGTCGTGCAGGATTCAAGTGTTCTCAGCAGCGCCTGACGCTTGGCCAGCAGCTGGTGCCAGTGGTTGAGCACTGACACTGGGCAGATTCTTTTACGTGTGTCTGACAGCTGCCTCTGCTGGCTCCTTGCCTCCTGGCTCTATTATGTGTCCAATTAAGAGAGAGCCCTCCTGGCTCTGAGAGAGATTAACATTTGAGATTGGATGGGGAGGCTCTCTGCATAAGGCTTTGGGGCCGACACCAAGGTGTCGCGTTTGCCTGTAATCTTACCAGAGCCTGACCCTGAGCAGGAGTGGCTTGCCAACGCAGACCAAGTCCTCTGAGGCGCCTCTTCTTGCTCATCCATTTCTTAGCGCTGATGGGCACCACTCACACTGAGAGCATAGGGCGTGTCCAACCCCCAGAGTTCTCTCCCCAGGACTGCCTCTGGGCAGCAGCAGGGGTAAGTGCTGCTAGGGTGGTGAGCGTTCTCCCTGTGCTCCAGGCTTTCATCCATCATTCCATTTAATGTGCACTGGGCGCTGTTCTCATCCCATTTCTAAATTGAGCCAAATGACACTCAGAGAGATTAATTACCAAGATTTGAACCCAGGTCTGCCTAATTCAGCGATTCTCAACCAGGGACAGTGCTGGCCCCCAGGGAACATTTAGCAAGATCCGGAACAATTTTTTTGATTGTCAACACTGAGGGTGGGTGCTGTGGGTGCCCAGTGGGATCTCCAGTGAGACTGGAGATCCTGAAGCCAAGGACAAACTCCCCAACAAGAATTCCCCAGCCCAACAGGGCAGCTGTGCCCCGCTCAGAGACCCTAGCCTGCTTGGAAAGCAAGGGCACCACCAGGAGTCCAGCTCGATTAAGAAACGGCCCCATTCTTCGGAAGAGGGTCTAAAAACAGGTTAAACTAACAGCATGTTCTCAAATGAGCGTTCAGGTGTGTGTTCCATAGCATTTGGCATCTGTGACATGAATGGCATGGTTCTCCTTTCCAGTGTGTGGGCTGCAAACATTCGGTGCAAAGGGTAAAATTCTCATCCGTGTAGAAGCTGGATGACAACTAGTTGAAAAACAAAATTCCCTTGAAGTCTGTTTCATTTTAAGAAATAATCCAAGTAATAGTTAAGCAGCGTGTGAGGTGTTCGCACCTTCAGTGGTAAATGGGTAACTGTTCTTAACGCACTGCGTCATATTTGCCTACCTGAGTGCACTCCTTAGGAACTGCTTTGTTAAATTAAGCTCCCGGTCGGTGTGTAAATGTGCAGTCACACTAACGGCGGTCATTGTTATCCACAGAAGACATAATCCCCTCAGAAAGCAGCTCCTTGTCTGACACTACCACCGGAGATGATCGTAAGTAGCTCCCCTTTCTTGTTTGAAATACTAGCTATTCTGAAATCAGACGATACCTTTTTAGTTAACAGAAGCCTGCTTATTACTACTCTTCAGAGAGCAGCAGAGTGAGCTCACTGCGTGTGTGCAGGAGGTCTGGAGGGGGGTTACAATGACCTTCTGCACAGGTCGGCATCATGTCGCAGGACAGCCAGTCACTTGGCTTTGGCAGCCACATACCTGAGGAAGCCAGGCTCTCCCTGAGGGCGTGTGAGGCTCTGCAGGCTCTTCTTTAACTTCTCGCTGAAGTAACTGTGCGTCCACATAAGTAATATGGAGACCTTCACCCAGCTTTTCCCACGGTGACAGTTATGCATTTGGAGTCCAATCAGACCAGGGCATGTCAGTGTAGACCGTGGTTATCACTGTTCTGGATAACGGCGTCGGTTACTTTCCTGAGGAAGAAATACACATATTGAAAATTGGGTCTGTATCGGTCTCATAGAAGCAGAGATGTCTCTGTGGGTTGGGTTGTGTCACAGCACAAGGTTGTGTTTATTCAACACGTTTCCTGATGGGCTGGGCTTCGTGTCAGGTGGCACCATGTTTCTTGTAACCCCTTGTGCTTCAGCAGAGGATGGCACACTATCTGATGGGATTTAAGCAATTTGGGGGAACCCTTGCCCCCCCCCCCCCACTGCCTTACCTCCCCCAGGTTTATAGTGTGTGAAGTGGTGCCGTTCCAGAATCTTCCTTTGAGCTGAGCCTTGGTCCGACTTGCCATTCCTCTTTCAAAATACAGAGCTTAGTGGGAGACCAGGCTCCCATCTCTCAGCATAGACTAGTCGCATCACCTCCAGTGACAGGACGTGCCTTCAGTAGCCAAAGAGGCCAAGAGCTTCAAAGGGAGAGTTGAACAACCTCCTCTTGGCCCTTTGCACACGGGGGTTTTCTGTGATACAACCTTCGAAAGCCTGTAGTATCACCATTCCACCTAAGTCCTTATTGAACTGGCAATGCTGGATCAGGCCCCGCAGAGTGTTCAGTCATTTCTTCTCTGTCGTGTATAAAATATAAAAATAAAGTTCCTGGAAGTCATGTGCTTCTGAAATCATCACCATAGGAGGAACACTTTGCTCACCAGACCTTCTCATTTCTTTCCCGGGCTGTTGGCACGGTATTTGTTCACTTATTTGCTTCCTACTTATTCATCCATTCATTTACTTCTTACAGCCAATGACACCTTCACCCTTGCTGGACAGCGGTCAAGTTCAGTGCCTCATTCTCCAAGAATTCTCCCTCCCAAGTCTCTGGGTATTGAGCGAATCCACTTCAGAAAGTCGTCCATCGGTGACCAGCTGGTGGATGCCAGGCAGGCCAGGTGAGCGCCACACCAGCAGAAGGGCAGATGCTCGAGGCCTGAGGGTCTTTTCTCCAAAATGGCCTGCCCACTTTGTCTCATCATCCTCCCTTTCCGAAGAGTTATTTTTAAGGCCGAAACATAGAAACTAGCCCAGTGATTTGTGGTGATACAAGTAGAAAAGTGCTTTTAGAAAAGGTTTGGCTATTTCTTATATTTAAAGGTTTATATTAAATTTTAAGGACATTAATTATAATCTGGATTTGGGTAAAGTTTAGTTTTATAACCATGCTGTCAGGAAATTGTCATTAAATATCATTACACCCAACCAAGAAATGAGACTGACATGATCTTTCAAATGAAAACGGGACTTCAATTCATTAGAATCTATAAAATAGGTAATACAAATTTCTTCTCAAGTGTCTCAGGTAAAAATCATCAGAGTAATAACACCAGATTTTAAAAAGATGACAGACCAGTGATTCCCAAAATTTGGCTACATGGATCAATACTAATTTTTAAATAGGACCCAAGATAAGATGCCAACTGTTTGCTTTGCCTAATCAGAATGTTCAGACAACCCCATGATTTCAGGGAGGAAAGACGCATAAATGTCAAAAATATATATCCTCCACCACCACCACCACCACCATCATCATCATCATCACAACAGTAATGAGATGAAGTTAACATTTATTGAGGACTTACTATATGCTGTTCAGACACTGTTCAGAGTGCTTTAATGTATGTTAATGAGTGTAATCCTCATGACAATCCTGACAGTATTGCTGCCAGCACTGCCATTTACAGAGGAGGGCCCCTCGGACCAGGACACGTGAATAACTTGTTGGGTTCGTCGCCCAGTAGGTGCCAGAATTAGGATTTAACCTAAGCAGCTGCTCTGAAGCCTTCGATGTGACTTTAATCAGTACGCTAAAACTCATCTCAGGGAAGATGGAAACTCGTCTTCAAATAAAGAAATTATTTGGATTAAATAATTTTTTACTCATGGAAGTAAAACCAGTACAAGGTTATGTTTCTGAACTGTCAAAGTTGCATGAAAACTTTTGCCACATATGAGTCCCCGTTTGTGGATTGGCATTTAAAAACGTGCCTTCCACAGTACAGATCCAAGTGTCAGGAGCTCTGCTAGCCAACATAATTAAGAGTAAATAAAATTTAAAACTCAGTTCCTCGGTTACACCAGCCCTGTCCAGGGCTAGCAGCCCCGTGCGGCTGTGGTGTAGGAGAGGACAGCACAGATAGCACATTCCCTTCGCTGAAGAGAATCCTCTGGACCGGCATTGCTCACGTCGGGGGTAAACAAAGCTATTTCAGCACAAAGAAGAACTATCACTAACAATCATTATCTTAAAAATTATGCTCACATCCCCAGGAGCTTAAAATGAGTTTGCTCTTTGACCCACTTACTGGAATTTTTTCTGTAAATAGAGGGTGCTGATTGCAGCGTTGTTTATGTGGTTCTGAATTCTTCCCGTCACAGAGAAATGCTGTCGACACACAGCAGCCCGTACAAGACCCCGGAGAGGCGGCCCCCGGGCGGGCGGAGCATGCCCAGCACCCCGGTCCTCACCCGCAATGCCTACAGCAGCAGCCACTTACAGTAAGAGCGCCCCCGCGGCCGTGTGGGCTCTGTTACGCTTTGCTTTACGGCTTTGTTTCTCTTTGTTGTGTTTTGTAATCAGCCAGGGACTTTGGGCAGCAGGTCTCTATTGGATGGATCTACATTTCTACTCACAGTTTCACATTTGTTGGCAAAGAACTTGTATCATGTTCAAGGCAATATTGTAACGTGTTGCACCTTCACCTTTCCCACCAGATATTGCCATTTGCCGTGCACTGGTGAGGATGGAGAGTGACAGTAGCCGCATTTTGAAGTGTCCGCTGAAGGCTGCGCTCTTTTGCATGCGCTGCATTATTTAGTCCCCGCAGCGAGCCTGATTGTAGACACCGGGCACTGCTTCTGTCCTCCTTCTGCAGGGGAGGGCGTGAGGGTGGGACCCAGGCCAGGCTCGCCCAGCTGGGGCGGGGCAGAGCCCGACTCCCAGGCCCCGAGCCTGTGTGGCCCGTTGTGTGGAGGATGGGCCTGCCAGAGGCTGGGGGTTCGGCTCTGATGCAGGCTTGTGTCCTCAGTTTATCTTCCTGCTTCTCAAGAAAGGCTGTGGCTGACAGACTTGACAGAACCCGGCTCTTGTCTCATTGTGACCAGGGCCGTGACCTGCAGGTGCGCGCTGGGTCCTGGTGCACGGTTGGCCTTGGAAACCGTGCGAGCCCTGCAGTGTGTAGCTCTGAGATCCTCCCCGTGGCGCTCTTCCCCGGTGCGGCCCAGCCCTCCTCTCTGTCTGACCAGCGTCCTGTCCCCCCAGGCCCGCCTCCGCCCCGCACGGCCGCCAGCGCAGCGGCAGCCTGGAGTCCCAGTCGCACCTGCTGTCGGAGCTGGACCACGACGGGCCCTTCTTCTCGCTCCGCCAGGCCCAGCGCAGCAGCAGCACCGAGGTGCTGGACGACGGCTCCTCCTGCACCAGCCAGTCCAGCGCCGAGTGCCACTGCGCGCCCGGCCCCCGGCCCGGCGCCCACACCCTGGACGCCCGCGCCCGCGGCCGGCGCCGGTCCCGCAGGCGGAGCGCCGCGCCGTCCAGCTCGGGCAGCATGCCCAACCTGGCGCCCAGGGACGGCCTGCGCAACGGCGCCCACAGCCCGGGCCCCGAGCAGCCCTCCTACTACGTCGCCGAGGGCGACCTGTACTGCGGCGGCGGCTACGTCTACGAGAACGACACGGAGGGCCAGTACAGCGTCAACCCTTCCTACCGCGCCTCCGCCCACCACGGCCACGGCCGCCCGCGGGACTACGGCAGGGCCTTCCACGGGGACGAGGTGGACCGGGTGCCCCACAACCCCTACGCCACCCTGCGGCTGCCCCGCAGGGCCGCGGGCTCGGAGCGCGGCCCCAAGCACATGCAGAAGGCGCTGGTGGCCGAGCAGCTGCGCGGCTGGTACCAGCGGGCCTCGGGCCAGAGGGAGCAGGGCGGCACCGGCGCGGACGCGGAGCGGGCGGCCCCGCGCTGCCTGGGGCTGGCGGGGCTGCAGGGGCCCTGCTCGCCGGGCAGCCGCGCGTCCTCCTACTCCTCAGGTGAGAGAGGGGGCCGGCCCAGCGGGGGGCTCAGGGGCGGACCGTCGACCTCTGCACCAGGAGGTCAGGGTTCGATTCCCGGTCAGAGCACACGCCCGGGTTGCGGGCTCGATCCCCCGTGTGGGGTCTGCAGGAGGCAGCTGATCAGTGATTCTCTCTCATCGCTGATGTTTCTGTCTTCCTCTCCTCCATTCCTCTCTGAAACCCGTAAAAATGTTGTTGTTGTTTTTTTAAATAAGGAAAAAGAATAGAGGAGGCACTTAATGGGGATTTAACTTGCCCCCTGTTCCCCGCCCACCCAGAACTACACCCCACGGGATCAGGAGACCAGCGCCGAGGTGAGGCGAGGGGAGGAGGGCGCACCCACAGGAAGAACGGTCATGGGAAGCAGTTCCCGCCAGCTTTGCGGCCGGCACAGTCCTCGTGGGCTGTTGGAGGAAGTTGTAGATTGAGCGCCCGGCGTTAGGGCTTCACAGACTTCATCTCTCCTGGGCCTTCGAGTGACGGTCACGTCTCCTAACTGTGTTCGGGTCGTTGAGGTTTGCTATGTGAAAAGAACAGACTAAAGCCTCCGGGTGCGAGAGAGCAGTCCCACCTCCTTCCCTGCCCTCCGCCGGAGTTTGGTCTGTGTGTGCGGCTGCTCTGGTGCCAGTGTGCGGCTTCCCGTGATTGTGACAGAAGCTGGAGTTCACCGAGCACTGGTCCTGGCTCTGTGCGAAGAACTTCGTACGTCTTAACTCAATTCAGTAATCATATTTAGTCCGCTTTACGGCGGACGTAAGGCATTTCCAAAGACAGTTTTTGATGGGTGGTCCCCATCATTGACGTGAGCCCCGGACTCTGCTGGCATTTGTGGTGGACTCACAGCCTGACCCCGGCTGTGCCTCGGACTTCACCTAGAGAAGCCGGTGGATACGGGGAGTGTCTGTCTGGTTTAACTCAGCGAACCCGCAGGCACGTCCCGGAGGCCGGAGCCGGCCAGAGCCCCGCCTGGCCTCAGTGAGCCCACACCTGTGTTAGCAGGGGAGGAATATGTGACAGTGGAGCAATTTAGAGCTCCGAAGAAATGAACGGATTTTTGAACAGCGTGAACCCCTGAGGGCGTGAGCCTTGCCCCCTCCTTCAGGCATGACTAGTGAGGTGTGCACAGGGATTCCCACCCTGGAGCACTAGTCAGAAGCCTGAGGCTTAAGAGTGTCCTCAGCTCGCTGCCCTGGCCGCTCTGGCTCCATGGATAGAGCGACGGCCTGGGGGCCAACGAGTCCTGGGTTTGATGCCGGTCAAGGGCATGCCCCTTGGTGCAGGAGGCACCCGATCGATGTGTTTTCTCTCACATCCATGTTTCCCTCTGTCTTTCCCTCTCTCTCCCACTCTCCCTGAAAGTCAACGGAAAAATGTCCTTGGGTGAGGGTTAGAAGAAGTTTTATCAGCTTGTTGACAAGAGGCATCTCCATGGAGATTTCTGTTTGGGTTTGAGTTCTTTTATTTGCGCAGGACTTTGGACTTCCGCTAGTGCTTTCCCGTCTGTCACCACGTCTACCACGTGAAAAGGCTCCTGTAGTTGCTGCTTGTTGTTTATGGCTCTGATCTAGAAAACGCCCCTTTTCCCCTACGTTCAGGGCGTCGTGAGAAACTCGCAGAAACCAAACCTGGGCACCGAGCTTCAAGGGAAAACCGAGCGGCGGGCGTGGGCGGCGGCAGGGTGCAGGCTGGGCAGTGCCTCCTGGCCGGGGAGGCCGGGGAGGCTGGCCAGGCCGAGGGGACTCGGCCCCGGCGTCACCCGAGCAGCTGGCTCTGGTCGGGAGCTGGTGAGAAGGATTTGAACCTGGGGCGAGCCTTGCTGACCCCGCTGGACCGGCCCCACAGGCCACACCGCCTCCTAAGGGATGAGAGATGGAATCAGTGCTCCCAGAATCCTTTTGAAATGTTCCTCATTCCTGCTTCTGTTTTACAGCTAACAGAGTGTATTAATTACAACAGGCGTGTGTCATTCTCATGCAGAGATAGGTCCCAATTTTTTGCCAAATTATCGGGGGGTTTTGTTCCTTCCAGCCACCTCAGAGTTCTCGGTGGCTCGGTGTTAACGGTACTGGCAGCCTCCGTGTACGGTCATCCCACCCTGAGCATGCAGCACGCTCAGCACTCTGTGTGCACGACCCCACCTCATGGATTGGTTGTGTTATTTTTATCACCCTGACTGGACAGCCGAGGCATATCCGGCCAAAGAGTGCCGATGGCCCTGCCCGGGCCCCAAGGCCTGCAAGTGGCGAGTGGGAGTTGGATCCCAGCGTGGACCTGACCACGGAGGCTGGTGAAACGTTCCCGAAGCTCCCAGCGAGAGTGTTACGCCTCGGGTCAAATCCTGTGGCAACGGGGTTTGGAGATGGTCTCACATGGGCCCCAGTGCTGGTGGGTGAGAGAGAGGAGGAGGGTTGGCTGCCAGGGACAGAAATGAGGACAGCGGAGAGGACCCTGGGCAGCGCTGGGCACCTGGGTGTGGAGCAGGACTGGCTTTAGGGAGGACGGCAAATGCTCAGAGGAGAGGCATTCGCTGGCCTTTGCTCCCCAGTTATGCCCTCGCTTGTCCAGGCCCGCCCCTCCGGAGGACGAGCCCATTCTTCCTGAATTCTTCCTATGCTAGTTCCCTCCCCACATCCATCTTTTCCTAAAGGCCTGGATCCTCCTGGTGACGCGGCTGCCTGTGGCTGAGGAGCAGTAAGGCCCTGCTCACCTTGGGAACACTCCCTCCAGGGGCAGAGGACCCCGGCTGCTCCTTACCCTGATGAAGACCAGTGAGAGTCCCGATAGAGCTGGCTCGTCTTTTGGTGTTTTTTAAAAATGGAATGTCTTTTCATGGACCTCATCCCCATTAATAACATTAATAGTTATCACTTACTGAGTGCTCCCTCTGTGCCAGGACGCACTGCTGTCCTTAATCCTGATGTTACCTGTTTGAGAGCCTATTTATGTTATTGTCCCCACTTTCCAGGTGAAGAACCTGAGCTGAATGAGGCTAAGCTATTTGCCCGCAGTCAGCAGTCATATGGCCACTAAGTGCCCGAACTGGAATAGGGCTTTGTGGTTCCCAGACATGGGTTCATAAGCTCTGCTTTGCACGCAGCTGATGATAAAGTACGTGTAAATGGCCTAACCAATCTTCACTTTAAACATCACCAGTAATTTTGTCTATTTTCCATTTTTATTTCTAGTGTCTTCTACGAACGTTTCCGGGAGCTGGCGGACCCAGATGACAGTCGGGCTTTCTGAGTACGAGGCCCCGGCACATCCTTCCTACACCACCTGCTACGGTGGCTTCTACAGCCCTTTGCCCTCTCCAGGCAGGTGAGGAGGCAAAGCTCGGACACTCCGGTCACTGCTGAGGTCTCAGGGAGCCAGGAACCCTGACTCATTTTATGACGGCTGAGTAATCTAGCTGCAGGGTGGCAAAGGATAGCCTCTGGGTCAAAACCAGCCATCACCTGTCTTTATAAATAAAGTTTTATTGGAAAACAGCCATGCTCATTTGATTCATATCATGGATGGCTGTTTTTGTACCAGGAGGGCAGAGCTGAGTAGTTGCGACAGACCGTATGGCCAACAAAGCCCCAAGTACCTGGCCCTTTAAGGGAAAGTTTGTTGGCATCTAATCTAGCTCCTTCCAATGTGACCCTGTTCTTAGTTACGTACATTAAATTCTGTATCTGAAGGCTTTGCTTTTAGTTGCAGTACTTGAAACTGTGCAGTTGATTTATGGACTTAGACTCTTCTGGAACCTTGCAGGAGAAATATCTGCTGCAGGAAAACCTGTTCATCCAAGATTCCTCAGGAACAGGTGGCAGCTTCACTCCAAACACTTGCTGCCTTTTTGTGTCTGGCCCTGTGTTTGTTAAGAACAACAGACACAGCAAGCTGTCCTATTCGTAAAAAATAATTCTTCATAAACATTTAGAGGAAATATATAAGAACAGTCTGTCAAAATGTGGTTGTCAAAATGATTGCAAATTCTGTATTACACCTTTTTCAGTTATTCGTGTTACAGAGAAGTCAAGTTTGCAGAGGTCATTTCTCCCTGTCAATTTCTCATAGAATATTATTCACACCCATGGAACCAAAAAGAACATTTTCTGGGATTTTTAGAAAATTCAGTGGTGCTTCAGGCATAGATTTACACAGACAATACTTATAAAGGGCTTTACACTAGTGAATTTGATAAGTTAGTTTATTTTTTTTAATCTTTATTGTTGAAAGTATTACATAGGTCCTCCTTTCCCCCCATTAACCTCTTCTAGCCTGCTCCTGTTCCCCACCCCCGCCCCGCAGGCCTTCAACACCCCGTTGTTCTGTTCGTGTCCATGGGTTATGCATGTATGCATACAAGTTCATTAGTTGATCTCTTCCCCCACCCACTTCCCCCTACCTTCAAGGGGTTTGTTTCTCATTAAAGCTCTTAGTGTTATAAGCAAATGAACACATTCATCCCCAAAAGCCTTATTTTTCTTCTCCATATTCAACAGGAGTTTTTCTTGGCTTGAAATATTAGTCCAATTGTCTCAACTCAACAAAGGCTATGCTCAAAATAGAATTTTAATGAAATATACTTCAGAGGATATGACATAGCTTGGATTTCTGTAAATAATGCTTGAGAATGAGTTAGGAGCAAGAACTAAAATGATTTTGGCCCAGAATTTGTGTTGATTTTTTTCAAGTCAGTTCTAATCATCTTGTATAATAATGTGCGAATAGTTTTCACGTTTACATACTTTTTTAAGTTTTGTATTGATTGATTTTTAGACAGAGGAAGGAGGAGTGAGAGAGAGAGAGAGATAAAGAAAGAAACATCGATTTGTTGTTCCACTTCTTTGTGCATTCATTGGTTTATTCTTGTATGTGCCCTGATCAGGGATCGAACCCACAATCTTGGAGGATTGGGACGATGTTCTAACCAGCTGAGCCCTGGGCCAGGGCTATCTGCTTTTGCTTTCTTCTTTTGTTGACCCGTTAGAAATGGTATAAAACATTCCCTGTACACGCAGTTCTGATAGTGTCCTTTACACAGCTCTCACTGGACTCAGGAAGTGCTGAGTCTTCAGGGGCCCTCTGCTTTTAGGGAGCCGCCATGTGCTTCAGCAAGCTCCGTGGCTGGACGGGGCAGTCTGAGGTCCAAGGGGCACAATGGGCAGGAAATTAGAACTATTTAAAGATCCCCATTGTGTGTGTGCACATGCACTTAATATGAGCTCATTGTGGAAAACTGAGAAAATAATAAAGAGATAAATAAGTAGAAGAGTTTACCCATAATTCCACCATATAGAGATATAACAGCTATTAACATTTTGGCACATTTCCCCCATTTTTTAAACATGGTTATACTGGTACCATGCATACAATTTTACAACTTTAATCATATATGAAATTCTACATTTCAATTATTCACTTAATATAACAAACACGTTTCCATATGTTTAAAAGTTTTTTAATTTTTATTTTATGTGACCAATATAATATTTCACTAACAAATACATCATACTTTATTTAAAAATTACCCATATTTTGAATTTGAATGGTCTTGGATTTTCTTTCCTTCTTATTTTAAGTAATGCTGCTATTTATATCTTTGTACAAAACATTTGTCCAGATTACTTCCCTAGGATTTATTCCAATTAGTAGAATTAAAGGGTTAAATTAAAAAGCATATTTTTAAAACTCTTTCATTTCAGAAATATTTGCCAGTTTATCCTCCCAGCCATGGATATGGGAGTGCTTATTTTCACTCATATGTCTATTTAGAATTTTTCTTTAATTATCATATAGCTTCCTCAATTTAATAAGGCAAGTATAATATCAGCCATCCATAAAACTTTAGAAATTTTGCCCTAAAATTGCATGTTGTTATTGATGAAAACATAATTTTTAAAACAAGAGAAATTGAGTTTCAAGGTAAAGATGAAAAACTTTAGATCTTCAGTTAAATATTTGAAATGCTTAGCAATAAATCAGTGATTAGATCAATATAAATGAAATGCATGTTATTTAAAGATCTTTTCCCACAGGGTGTCCAGGTCTTAATACTACAGAAAGCTATACAGTTTTACAAAGATATATATATATATATATATATTGTGTGTGTGTGTGTGTGTGTATATATATATTTATATTGTGTGTGTGTGTGTGTATATATATATATTGTATATTGTGTGTGTGTGTGTGTATATATATATAGTATATTGTGTGTGTGTGTATATATTGTATATTGTGTGTGTGTGTGTGTGTATATATATAGTATATTGTGTGTGTGTGTGTGTATATATATATAGTATATTTGTGTGTGTGTGTGTGTATATATATAGTTTATTTGTGTGTGTGTGTGTGTGTGTATATATATATATATAGTATATTTGTGTGTGTGTGTGTATATATATATATATAGTATATTTGTGTGTGTGCGTGTGTGTGTGTGTATATATATATAGTATATATTGTGTGTGTGTGTATATGTATGTGTGTGTGTGTATATATATATTGTATATTGTGTGTGTGTGTGTGTGTGTGTATATATATATATATAGTATATTTGTGTGTGTGTGTGTGTGTATATATATATATTGTATATTGTGTGTGTGTGTGTGTATATTGTATATTGTGTGTGTGTGTGTGTATATATATATATCGTATATTGTGTGTGTGTGTGTGTGTGTATATATATATATTGTATATTTGTGTGTGTGTATATGTATGTGTGTGTATATGTGTGTGTGTGTGTGTGTATATA